GGAGGGGGACGCATTTAGGAACCTGGCCTTGGGGCAGCAGAGAGAGTAAATCTGGCCCTGTATATATCTAGTATGTGTGTGCATAATATATATACACTCACCGGACACAGTATTAGGTACACCTTCCTAGTACCGGGTTGGACCCCCTTTTGCCCTCAGAACTTAGTTGTTCATGGCATAGATTCAACAAGGTGTTGGAAACAGAGATTTTGGTCCATATTGACATAATATCATCAGAGGTCCGAAGTGTAGCAAGAAAATATCCCCCACACCATCAGCCTGAACTGACACACACACACACACGGTGCAATACCAGATTTTATCAGCAGGTAGACTTGTTATACTACAATTTTAGATAATAAGCCCCATCCAGCCTTACCTGGTTCCCTTCTAGCTCAGAGCCATCTTTTTCTGTCTCTGTTGCTGTAGGTGGGTCCTTCTGCCTATGCGCCCTGCGATTGGTGAAAACATGCCCTTTGTCTCCGTTGTTTGGTAATGTTAAGTTACTTCCATTTTCCGCCTGGCTGCCCCGTCTTTTAGGGTCCATCTGTTGGGCAGAGTCATTTAAGCTTTCTCTTGAGTGTCTCTGCTCCTTCTCTGTTGCTTGGGCAGATATTCCAGAGTCCGTATCACTGGCTCTTTTAGAGGCGCCGTCCACAGCCGAGTTGGCTTTGGATGGAGCATATGGATCCAATGGATGGATGCTGCTTGTTATGCTACTTGTTACTGGTGTGTCCAAGGAGGATTTTAGAGTGGAGGTATTGGTGAAGGACACAGTGGAGCTGCTTGGGTTGATGGATAAAGTGCTGTTGCTATTCTGCCTTGTAAAAATAGGAGAAGAGCCACCGTATCCGGATTCATTGGAGGAATGGCTGCCGATGGAAGCGTCGGAGTGGCTGCGTCGAGGATTATATGGCTTCAGAAATGAGCTGTAAACAAATCCCTTTGTGACTGTGAAAGGAAGAGGAAAGACAGGTCAGAGACCAGTCCTACTATAATATATAATATTCCTACTACTGCAAGAGGTGCCCTGAGGACTCATTTATACATGTATATTGACCATTTGTAGACACATGGCTCAGACAGACACTTCTGCTATGGCTCCACTGAACCCTAAGTGGTACACACTTGACAATATGCAAATGAACAATAAAACAGGCTGCACAAATAGTGCCCATTTTTGTGTGCTGCTCACTGTTCCCCTTGCTGGAGAGGAAGCTGTACCTGCAAGGATCTCCCCGTCTTCCTCATTTTTTCTGTGGGTCTGTGCTTCCTCTACCTTTGCATCAGTTTCCTCAATATGACCCCACAAGTCATCAGATCACCAAGAGAGTGGGGTGTTCCAGCAGCCTTGGAATGAGGAAGCAAAGCCCTGCCTTTACCAAGATGGCTTCTTTCCCACAGACACAGTGTAGAAGAAGGCATGGTAAATCAGTAATGAGAAAAGATCAGCTGCAGCGAGCCTAAAGACCAGTCCTTCGCCCTCTGTTTATGTTTTTTGGGCAGATCTTTCACATACTCGTTAGGAAGGTTATAATTGATGACTGTATTTCTACTGATGATGGGAATAAAAAGAAGTCCCCTTACTACACAGGGGAAAGCCTCTGCACAGGCAAACTGTGCCTAATGGTAAATCCAGCCTTGCCTAGATCGATTCAGATGACACATATTCACTAACCATAAAGAAAGACAAATGAGGCCCCCTCACCTCCATTATCTACCAGCCATCGGTTTTGGCTCCCCATCGGGTCTTGTTGTTTAATAACACCGACTAGGTCGCCCTCCTGAACGCACACATCCAAATCCTGAGCAGCATTGAAGTTGCGGTCCGCCTGGAAGAGTTTTTCTGGTGGGTAACGAGTGAGTAACAGTGCCCGATGTTCATCCGTCTGTGGTATGTATTTGGCCTAAGGGAAGAGACACAGTTAGAAGGACAGACTTCCTCATATCGGGAAACAGAATGAAGACAACATAATATTAGGTAACAGGACAGAGCATAGAATTACTCACTGGGCTTGGTACGGTCTTCCTAGCAGACTGACGCTCAATAGTCTTTCTCTCAAAAGGCTTCTTGGCCGGGGGAGGATTTTCTGGGAAGAAGGTGAAGACCTGAAGCTGCTGGAGGACCTTACTGTGCTCCTCCTGAAATAAGGCGATGAGGTTCCCTTCTCTCCCACCGATGCCCAACAGCTGGAAACAGACACACATTCATGAACAATCAATCCTGGTTTAAAGCTTACAATAACAATGTATCAGATGATGTATAGTGCCGATAGCAGAACTCAAACAGGAAACACCATTTACATTAAACTGTATGCTGAGCAAAATGGCAGAATATAAACAGAACAGGAATTTCAGAGATTTCAACACAAATCTCATAGGAAAAAAAACTTTTTTCATTTCCAGAAAAGTTTAAAAGAAACTTCTAGTGAGAGACAAATAGAGGCCGCATTTGCCCACCTCTCATGAATACTAGCTCCCTTTCTCATGCTCAGTACCTTCTGTGTCCCCGACCTTGGACAAGTATGCTGATTAGCAGCTCTGACTTTTCTCCTAGCTTTGATCTGCATGCTGTTTTAATGATTTACATAAATGAAAGGCAGTTAGCAATGGCAGCCCTGTTTCTCCCTCAGCAGAGGCAATGGGTGTAGGAATAATCTTGTGTCACAGAAGTCCCCTGAATGAATGCCAGTGCAATGCAGGACATCACTTTATAACACACAAGAACATTTGGCTGTGTGTCCTTTTAAGAGTAACACAGTTTCTCTAAAGGTAACCGACAACTGTTTATTATTAACCAAGTGAAGTCACTTCCTGCAGCTATATAAACTGTGTGTTCTATGTGCACTCAGAAAAGCATTTCCTGGACAAACAGTATATTCATAGGTTGTATTGATATGGGCTAGATCAAGATTCTCAGAGCAGGCAATATAACCCGAAGCTCCCGCCAATCTTTCTGACACATGGCTATAGATATTTTGGTAATACTAAAAGGGTAAAAGATATGATAAAAGGCTAGGTCTGTGGGTCTGGGGCTCAGGCAACTCGCTCCAGGATAAGCAAATATTTCCCCACCCCAATACAAGACTAACCACTTATCAGCTTTATCCACTGCCTGTTACTACTTACCTTGTTTCCATGTGTGGAGATCGGGACTTATAAACTGTGCTCAACTGAATATGCCTACACTAAGCACACCTATACACAACATTGCGCAGTAATATCTACATTCCACATACACAGCTGTGCCTACTGAATGATCTCTGCCCACCTATACACAACATTGTGTAGTAAAGTCTCATTCCACACACACATCTGTGCCTACTGAATGATCTCTGCCCACCTATACACAACATTGTGTAGTAAAGTCTCATTCCACACACACATCTGTGCCTACTGAATGATCTCTGCCCACCTATACACAACATTGTGTAGTAAAGTCTACATTTCATATGCACAACTGTACCTACCTGAATGCTCTCTGCACACGTATACATAGCATTGTACATTACACATACACATCTGTGCCTAGTGAACAATCTCTGCACACCTATACACAACATTGTGCAGTGTAAGCCAGATCCCACAGACACAGCTGTGCCCACTGAACGATCTCTGCACACCTATTACACAACCTATACACAACATTGTGAAGTAAAATCTACATTCCACAAACACAGCTTTGTCTATGGCTTGCCTATAAGCACAATTTGACACAAACTAGACATGGTGGATCCTAAAACCTGGCTACTATTGATGGCTTGTATTAAAAGGTGCAGAGTCCACAACTATCATCTTGATCCTGTCACCACAAAGTCATAAGTCACTGCCCTAGAACAAGTAGGTGGAATGGGAGTTCAGACTTCACTGGTTGCATTCTGCTTTCTCAGTCAAGTGTAATAGCCGGATGATAGCCCTGGAACCTGAACCTTTAAAAACTTGTCCGCAATGCCCTCTCTAAAACTTCTATCCTCAGAGGGTTCACTATAAGAGCCTGTGGCTGACAGCCAGATAGAACAAATCAAATACACAACTTACACTTAGTAGAGGCTTTAGCTCCTCCAAGGCATACTTTACAAAGTTACAGTGTGCATTGGCATAGCCACGCACACAGCTAGCAAACAGCTCCTTGGCGTAGTTATGGAATTTGGGCAGCTCATCCAGAAGTTGGGCGTTCAGAGCCTCGTAGTTGTTCCTGGCAGACTGAAGCTCATCTAAGGTCCTTTTGTCCTTCAGCTTTTCAGCCCTCTCAGTGCAGTTATGGTAGTCCAGAAGCTTGTCGAACCTTTTCTGCACCAGTTTGTGTGGGCCAGCAAACATGGTCAGGAGCTGGGTGAGAGGAGAGATGACCAGCTTCTCCGTTCTTTCTTTCTGTGTGGAAGAAAAGTGAGATTTATGTCAGCGTACCGACTGGGGACTGGCACAGCCGGTGAACACTACTATAGTTAGCTTGCCTTGAAATAATAAAGGGACTTATAATGGGACAAGGCCTCATGACCTGCACAAAACTTCAGCCACTTGTATCTGTTGATCAACCTGCCATGAGACTTCTCAAAGTAACCCCTTCCCTTATCCCTTCAAACCTGTGCATATGGCTGGATGTACTACACTTTATTCGTATACCTCCCAGGCAATAAACATAGATGTTGGTGTGCTCATTTTTAATTTTGCACATTTTAATTTGTAGAATAAACATGAAATGAAAAACGAAATGCACAGTACAATGGGATTTGTTTCCTAAGGCAAACCCATGCATTTCCCATTCAGGGAAAGCAACAGGTTTTCTTAGCCCCCCCCTTGCCCCAAATTGCCCAACAGTGTATATGCCTTTCATTTGCTGCTCTGCCATTCCATCCAACACCGGGACCTGAAAAAATACCCATTACTTCTACATATGGAAAAGCATCGACTTACTCCATGTGACAGTGCTGGGCCAATCAGCGCTGTCACACGGGGAAACCATAGCCCATTGTAAACTAGGGGTCCGGTGACATGTAGCTAGCACAGGACTATCCTTTCAACCCTGCTGGCTAAATGCAGCGGACGGGGAGCAAAAGGAATGTGACTATAAGTGCCTGGGGACATCTGCATTAAAGTGCACTTTAAAACCCAACTTCAGGTACAATAAAGGTACCAGGGTTAACACATTTGTTCATTCCTTTGCTTCAAAAGCAATCCCAGTCATGCTGGCTTTCTTTGACATTAGGCAAACCTGCTTGTTTACATGTCTGCATTAGTAAATTTCCCGCTCTACTTCCAGGCTGCTCGGATGGAAGCACTGTAGGTCTTATAGACCCCAGACCTGCAGTCATGTCTCAATGCCCCTTTCCTCCTGGCCATTCATAAAATGAAGCCTGGGGCTGTGTGTTTTGTGAATGGCATGGAGGAGAAGTCAAAACCGCAGCACTTATATCGAAGCAGGCCGGAAATCCAGCGGAAACTGTACTAATCCCTGCATGTAGAAGAAAGCCTGCATAGCGAGGAGGGGTGGGGTTGCTTTTGAGGAAAAGGAATGTATAAGTGCATTAACCCTGGTAAGTTTCTTATGTCTGGAGATGGGCTTTAAGGGGTCAATAGGTGTGAGATAACCAAGCCCCCCATCTGGCGTGCTCTATTGTGTATGACCACCCTTAAACCTGGCCAATGAGGTAAGAGAACTCTAGCGCTCCTTTCACTGGTTTTCAGGTGAATTTGCTGTGTCTGTGACACACCCAGACCTTCTCATCAGACTGGAATGTAAACAGGTGTGATTACCTGCACTAAACCATCCCGTGGGATTATCAGTGTACAGGGTGTAAAGTTCAGGGAACATACATTAGGTCAGTTCCAACCATAACTGATATTTCTTATATTTTCCACAGATGTCGCCTCTAAAATACCAAGTTGTGCCCTTCTGTTGTGGTCTTTGCACAACTAAATGATGGTGTCGTACTTCTCTGATGGTCTCACCATAACATAGAACAAATAACATAAGGGGCCAGCAGTCACAAAGCCACACCTCAAACAACCGTGCGTCGGGACAGGAAGGGTTACTTAAATTAAAGTTTAATCTGCTTATATATTGATAATGCTGGACATCCTCCAGCCAGTAAATGAGGGGGGCTCTATCTGACTTGCCGCAACTTCTAATGCACATTGTGAGAAGCTCACAGTGTGCAGTGAAATCAGAGGAAGCCATTTCAGTCCAGGAGGAGCTGGTACCACAGTGCAAGATTGAAGGGAAGGCCGGAGTCCAGCTTGAAAAGGTGTACAGGTCTTATAGCTAATTGCCCTCCTTTAAAGACTGCTGGGGATGCCGTGTTATGGAAGCTACCAAGGTCAGATGCGGTTAGCATTTGCAATATACCAAACACACATTAGAGCAGAGGACTGTGAAGGAAACCTTGAAAATGTAAATGTACTGTTACCCAAAAGAACCTCATAAAATAGACGTTTTTCATAGCTATATTTTTGTAAAAATGGCTTTGATGTTACATTAGCCTGCTCGGTAGAATTCTTCTTTAACGCTGTGTAGAGGAGAGGAGTAAACGGTGAATAAAGGGGCACTCACGAAATCGGTGAAGAGCTTCTCGCTGATGTTACGATGGGCTTGCTGAAAGTTCTCCAGGTCACTGGTTCCTTTGTCTGCATACAAATCCCACATACTCATGGCAGCCAGGACTTTCACACAGGCTGATTCCTAGGACACACAAGGAAAACACAGCTTGGGAATGTCCCTGGAACAGAACAAGCACTGTGTGCTACAATGGAGATGGAGCCGCTACAGAACCCTACTAGTCTAAAATTTACAAACACAGGAAACAGACTGAACTATGTGCGGAAAAACAAAGCCGAAAGTTACAATTGAAGTAAATCTATAAACAAAGTATTTTTTGGACACAGTAGGGAAAGCTAGGTATCTACTGCCACCTATGTCCCCATTGGGGAGGTGATCCCTCTCGCTGTGTCCTGTGACCACTGTCACCGGGACAGAGAGTGATGGGAAATCCCACCATTTTAGTTTCTGAGTGTGCGGTTAGGAGCGCCTACTACAAATATTATTTTCCCCAGAAATTCTTTTAAAATATTTATTGGTTAGGAACATCAGATACAACCATCGTGTTTTGAGATGAAAGGCAGCACGACCCCCCCCCCCCCCCTTTCTTCAGGGTATGAACTGCCATTTTTAGAAAAAACCTGAATGAAATATCAGAGATAGTCTGAATGGAGGCTCGGGGTGGAGAAATTAATTTGGGCCAGTCTGCCCAATCCAGGAGAAGAAGGATTTGTTTTAAGAGCCAGCTTAATTAACAACTACTAGGAAACCTCAAAAGTTAGGAGCCAGCTGTCATTTTTAAGGAGAATTGGCCACTTCTGGCTCCTGGGATTTGTTCAGCCTGGACTAGTGTGTTTTAACAGCAGTGTAAACAGCCAAGGTAGGCCCAGAATCTGGCCCACACATACCTTACCTTTATCACAAACTGACCCCTGTTGAGGTAGACACGCTCTATTCATTAGAATCACTTTACACTTTCATCGATCCAGTGATTTCACAAAATTTTTTAGTAGCCACTTGAACAGGAAGTGAGGGTAAATCTCCCAGCAGGGGTTTTAACCATCCCCTACTGTATCCTAAAAGAAACCTTTACATACACTTTAAGACTGCAGTCAGCACAGCTAAAGTGCCACCGCGCTTTTCTAAGTTACTGAACCCTACGAGCAGCGCTACGGCACTTCATCTTAGCCGGACAGTGTCTCAGTGATCCTTCGCAGCGCTCAATACAAATTATTAAACTAAATGTGAGATTGTAGTCTATCACAGGAGCAAGCTTGGAGCGGTGACTACTTTACAACACACACAGGGACCATGGGGAACAAAAGAAGCCCCCCTCCAGAAGGAAGGACAGTGTGAGCACCAATTCAGAGATGATTTGAGGATCTACAGCCGAGTGAGACACAAATAAGATACATTTTTGTTAATAGTTCAGGTATTTGAATGTATTATTAAGATTTAACTCCTGAGTTTAGTGTCACTTTAATTAGAGTCCTATAATGAAGGTGTGCAGAAAATCCCTACTTTACTGCAGTGTGACAGTTAACATGTTAGTCCAACCTTAACCTCTAGTTCAGTTTTAGAACATGCAAACTCTTTAAAGTACACCTGTCACCAGAGCAAGACATAGATGACCATTTGTGACCTCTCTTTCTGAACATGCCAGTTGGTTAGCAGTCATGCCTTGCTAGCCATGATTTATGAATCACTGATCAGAAATAAGTAGAGAGAAATGGAATCCCAACACTTCTTAAGTATCTAAAACCCAGAAATACAGTAGCCAGAGACAGCCAGGCAAATAACATTTTTAAAACGAGGCCCCCCCCAAAAAAGCAGCTGACATGTATCTCTTGTGACAGGTGTAGTTTAAACAGGCTTTCTTGTATCAGTCCGGGGCCCGGTGGTGAGATCTCTGCACACCTGATAAGATTCTCCACAACTGTTGGAGATTTCATTTATTCTATATTGCAGGAAGTAGGACGCCTACGTAACAGAAGATAAGATAATACGGTGAATGGAAAAAAAAACACAACACATACAAGAAGGCAGCAGATCAATGCCATTCTATCTGTGCTTGGGCGATCTATGCATCTGTAGCCCTTGCAAGAACTACAAGTCTCAGCAGGACATGGAAGCTAAAAGGACCTAAAATTTCCCCAGAGGGGCTCACAATCATACTGTAACTGAGCTGGACCCAGCTATTGTACACAGCCACCAAGTCAGATCTCATCTGTCGTTCCTGTGCTATTAAATATAAATATTAGATCTACAGGCTGCACTCACACTGTTTTCACCTAGGACATAAAGCATGACAAAATATATGAATGTATTGAGCCATATGCCAATAAATAGAGCCGCTCAAAGTACAACCAAAGTTTGCCTGGCAAACATGTTTAGGAATGTCACTGAAGAACACTTTCAGAGCCTTACAGGTGACCGCTGTTATCTGATAAGAGCTGCCTCCCTTTCGCCTACATGTCAGGACAGTTAAAGAGTGCACAGGCCTCACCCTAATGTGCTGGAGATACACAGACAGGTCCCGGATGAAGGACTTGATCAGTCTTTCCTGCATTCTGAAGTTCTTCTCCGTCTCTTCAAAGACTTCATCTCGGATCTGTCATACAAAGACATAAAAGAAGGCTTTGTTACAGGTACCTGTCCCAGGTATATGATCTACAGAACTACTGGATTTTTATGTATTGGCTTACTGGCTAGTGAACAGCAAGCCAGAGTGACCAATCAAATGTTCGTTAAATTTACTTAGATCAGGGAATGCTGATTGTTTGCATTGGGCTACTGCGTTTTGTATTATTGAATACACCATCGTGCCTTTTACGTGATCACTTAGAAGAGAACCTGAAGACAAAGTGACCGGTCCTCTTCAAAGAATGAGTATGAAATATAGTCCAGGTCTGCAGCCCATCAGGGAATTTTCGGCAATGAGAACATTTGCACATCTGTATTGCTAGAATAAAATATAATCTTCAATTAGAGATGCACTGATACTTGTATCGGTATTGGTGCCGATACTGAGTATTTGGGCGAGTACTCGTACTTGCCCAAATGCTCGGATGCCTAGCCCGATACCCGAACTTTCGGTATCAGGAAGCCAGGCAGTGGAGTCATTACAAGCTGCCCGGGTTCCTGATTGGCCGGGAAGCCGGCTCCATGCTCCCACGTCACTTGGTATCGGTGCATCCCTAATCTTTATATTAAGTTATTAGATTGGATTGCACTGAAGCCAGGAATAGGGTTCACAGAGCAACAGGCTTGCTTACTACAATTAGCAGTAGCTGCTCTGACTAATCAGCTCACTGATCTATTAAAGCTGAACTCCGGCTTTCCCTTCAGTCTTGTACAGTTGTACCGGCTCCTCTCCTGGACTGAAATGTCTTACTCTGATATCACTGCACACTGTGAGCTTCTCACAGTGTGTATTGGAAGATGCAGCAAGGCAGACAGAGCCCCCCTCATTTACTGGCTGGAGGACATCCACCAATATCTAGTCCTTTTTTCACCAGTTGGGCTGTCCCTGGTCCACCCCTTTTATTCACTAGATTTCACATGGAGGCGTTACCTAGGACAGTCTGGATGTGACCTAAATCTACCTAGGAGCACCCACTACTCCAGACTGACATCATCCATCTTTATGATATTTGCTCCCAAGAGTCCATCCACGATTTGTATCAATGCTGAGGGCTCTTGAGAGAAGTACTGGAGGTTTTCAGGAAGCTATGTACAGCACCCTGCTGACCCCTCCCAGCCATAATCTGCCTGAATTGCATAGAGAAATGCAGAGACCAAATAATTATGTCACTGGGTCTAAAATAAAGTACAGATTGAAAATAGAAAAGTTTTCTTTAAAAATTGCATTAGCATGTTCATGAAGTGAGATGGAAACAGGGAAAGGAAAACAAAAGTAGATTAGACTTAGGCTTTAAGCTTCTGGACTGCCTCCCAAATTTGGAAAACTGAAGGGAAGCTTTTGTCATCAGTTTTTATAGCAATTAACCAATTCACAACCTGCCTGGTCAGGAAAGGGGGGGGATATTCATGATGGAAGAACTGCCATCAAGACCATTGAAACTCAACAGGAAATGTCTGCAGGTTTGACCCCTCTGCAGAGGAATGGAGGAGGCTGGAGACTGGTATTTTCAGTAACCTGTCATCTGTTATCATTTACATAAATCTTATTTTTCATTGATTTTTAATTGTACGCGGGTGTTATTTCACTGGTACTATGTCCAGAGACTTAAAGCACACTTGACATATGGTTTCCTTGGGGTCAATGCAAAGGAACTTGAGATGAACAGCTCTAGGCAACTGGAGATCTCTTCAAGATCCGATCACACCGAGCACGACAACATAGTTACAGCACAAATGACACACATGTGTACAGAGAGTGTGAAGAATCATCTACCTGAGGTGCAAAGCCCGTGAGGTGCTTCAAGTGACTGCTGACCCTGTTGGATTTCTTGATGATAGAGTGGATATTAAGTTTATAGATCTTGTCCATTATACTTTCTTCATCACCTTTGCGGTACTTGACAACTGAAAGAGAGTAATAAATATATAAGAGTGCCACAATTTTTACCCCTATACATGGAAAACTAACAGCGAAATGTGTGACTTCATCTAAGCAACTTCTATAAATGCACATTTGGGACCCATATACAGAAGATGTCATTGACATAGTCTTGTCATTCAGTCACCTCTGTTGTGTTAGATGTCTGTATAACACAAAGACCCAACTCCAGACAAAACTTTTGTTTGTTAATTTTGTAAAGAATGTTTCTACTGTATTCATATTAGGGAGATGTCTCTTCTGTCTTCCCATCATTATGACAGTATTTAGGGGAAGTCCCAACAACAAAAACACATTTTCTTTTCTTTTTTGTAGTGTGTTGAAGGGTTAGAACCTCAGTCAGATTGATCTTGTTCAATAAAGGGACCAAAAGTAAGATAATGCTAGATAGATAGATAGATAGATAGATAGATAGATAGATAGATAGATAGAGAAAAGCAAACAATATAAGTCTATGAAATGTATAAATATGGATCTAACTGACCCAAAGTTGGATCCATTATTCAAATCCCATCACTTATATTAAGCAAATAAATAATAATAATAATAATAATAATGTGTGCATACATGTATATATACAGTACAAATGAAAAACCAAGTAGTGCCAGTTACATGAAACTGAATTAATATTCCATATTGGAATGACTTTATATAAAAATGATTGTATGAAAACTTGTAACTGCCACTTTTTGGGTCCACATCTGTATATTTATATATACTGCAAGCTCTTTTTATTGTTTGCTTAATATAGGTGATGGGATTTAAATAATGGATCCCCGTTTGGTTGATATCCTTATTTATAAATGTTTTGAATTTATGTGGATATAATGAAGGTTTTTTGTTTTTTTTTAATTTCGGTCCCTTTATCCAGTGCCTTCATGAGAAATAGGGAGCGGCACTCGGAGACATTTTTCTCATCAACCAAGTAGGTGGATACTGGTTCATTAACCCCCTATTTAGATTCTACTGGTGCCCGATTGTGACAAGGTGTCATTGGGCTAGGAAGTGGGGATGAATCGCATTAATGAGTACACGATCAATCCTAAAATGCCAACAGATGTTCCAATCCGTCCACAAAAGATGTAAAAAGAAAGTAGTGTTGGACTATAAGAAGGTGAGGCCAATTCCCCAGATTTCATGCCACTTCCCTTACCATTAAGAAGGTGAGGCAATTCCTCAGATTTCATGCCACTTCCCTTACCATTAAGAAGGTGAGGCAATTCCTCAGATTTCATGCCACTTCCCTTACCTTCACACCCTTCTGTCTATCACATTGCAAAGCTCTAACACTAACATACAAGCCTGATTTCAAGTCTTTAAAAAGGGACCTGCAAGCAACCGTAAGGACTCACCAAGATCTTTCCTTCTCTTGTACTCATTTATGTTGACGTTAATTTCTTTCACTGCCCGCACAGCATCTTTCATGGGGTTCTTGTCTGGGTGGGAGTCGGGAGTCGCTCCAACTAGCTCCATGAGAAGCAGAGGATAGCGCATGATCCTCTGCACCGGCTTAATGAGGAAGGAGCCCAGGTTTATGTAATTGGTGCGCCCCCTATGAAAGAAGGCACCTGGTCAATGAGGACACAAGTTATACAAGCAGAGAAAACACACATTTTCATAAGACCTTAAAAGAAACCTGTCAAAGGAGAAATATTTGAGCCGTAATTGCTGATATCTTATAAAAATTCTACTCGCTTAGCTGTTTGTTGGTCCTCTGTGTTTAATATTGCTGACCAATAACAAGTACATGGATCAGACATTCTGACTTCACTTGCCGCATTGCTTTCTCCTGGTCAGTGACTGAGAATGTACTAAAGACAGAAAATCAGCATGGCAGACAGGAAACCAGCATTTTCAGGAGGAGAGGTCAACAACGTCAGTCTATGTACTTGTATTCTGACAGGTTTACTTTAGAGACGGTGTAATCCATGCATAATGGCATTATACACTGTAGGCCCCTGCTGGCTCTGTACCACCAAAAGCCTTTTTCAGGATATGCCTGACCAACCACCTTGATCAGTAGACTGTAAAACTCTTCAGGTGGCTCAACCATCCAAAAGATGAATTTCAAGTTGACCTGGGCATGTCTGCCTAAATCCTATGATTCCTATGGATAGGAGACTGTTTCTGATCCACCTGAACTGAACCAAATCCTAGGACAGTCTTATGTCTATAGTTTTAAGATAGACACTTAGAACACGTTCTCAAGAACTGCTAAAAAGCTTCTAATGCCCAAGGCAGAAATTACCTATTAAATGACATTGCTTAACAGTAGTAAACACTTGGCAGAGGTCCTTTCCTCATCAGATAGTATTAAAATATGTCAATTGAATAGAGAAGCACCACTGTCATCCAGCCAGTGCCTTTCTTTACTCATTATGAGCAGATTGTACTTTTAGATTGTAAGCTCTCATGAACTTCCCTTACCATTAAGAAGGAGAGGCAATTCCTCAGATTTCATGCCACTTCCCTTACCATTAAGAAGGTGAGGCAATTCCTCAGATTTCATGCCACTTCCCTTACCATTAAGAAGGTGAGGCAATTCCTCAGATTTCATGCCACTTCCCTTACCATTAAGAAGGTGAGGCAATTCCTCAGATTTCATGCCACTTCCCTTACCATTAAGAAGGTGAGGCAATTCCTCAGATTTCATGCCACTTCCCTTACCTTCACACCCTTCTGTCTATCACATTGCAAAGCTCTAACACTAACATACAAGCCTGATTTCAAGTCTTTAAAAAGGGACCTGCAAGCAACCGTAAGGACTCACCAAGATCTTTCCTTCTCTTGTACTCATTTATGTTGACGTTAATTTCTTTCACTGCCCGCACAGCATCTTTCATGGGGTTCTTGTCTGGGTGGGAGTCGGGAGTCGCTCCAACTAGCTCCATGAGAAGCAGAGGATAGCGCATGATCCTCTGCACCGGCTTAATGAGGAAGGAGCCCAGGTTTATGTAATTGGTGCGCCCCCTATGAAAGAAGGCACCTGGTCAATGAGGACACAAGTTATACAAGCAGAGAAAACACACATTTTCATAAGACCTTAAAAGAAACCTGTCAAAGGAGAAATATTTGAGCCGTAATTGCTGATATCTTATAAAAATTCTACTCGCTTAGCTGTTTGTTGGTCCTCTGTGTTTAATATTGCTGACCAATAACAAGTACATGGATCAGACATTCTGACTTCACTTGCCGCATTGCTTTCTCCTGGTCAGTGACTGAGAATGTACTAAAGACAGAAAATCAGCATGGCAGACAGGAAACCAGCATTTTCAGGAGGAGAGGTCAACAACGTCAGTCTATGTACTTGTATTCTGACAGGTTTACTTTAGAGACGGTGTAATCCATGCATAATGGCATTATACACTGTAGGCCCCTGCTGGCTCTGTACCACCAAAAGCCTTTTTCAGGATATGCCTGACCAACCACCTTGATCAGTAGACTGTAAAACTCTTCAGGTGGCTCAACCATCCAAAAGATGAATTTCAAGTTGACCTGGGCATGTCTGCCTAAATCCTATGATTCCTATGGATAGGAGACTGTTTCTGATCCACCTGAACTGAACCAAATCCTAGGACAGTCTTATGTCTATAGTTTTAAGATAGACACTTAGAACACGTTCTCAAGAACTGCTAAAAAGCTTCTAATGCCCAAGGCAGAAATTACCTATTAAATGACATTGCTTAACAGTAGTAAACACTTGGCAGAGGTCCTTTCCTCATCAGATAGTATTAAAATATGTCAATTGAATAGAGAAGCACCACTGTCATCCAGCCAGTGCCTTTCTTTACTCATTATGAGCAGATTGTACTTTTAGATTGTAAGCTCTCATGGGCAGGGCCCTTCTTACCATCGTGTCTTGAATTGTATTGTAATGTCTTCCCTTTGTTGTAAAGCGCTGCGCAAACTGTTGGCGCTATATAAATCCTGTATAATAATTATTATTACTGACAACATTTTAACGCCATTCTGATGGATCATAAAAGTGTTTCAGAATGCAAAGATCAGGAACAAATGAAGCGCAGGGTTTCAAGGGGGTTTTGCAAGACTGTTTTCAAGAACTCTAAAGAGTGTTGGACAAATAAGGGTGGATCCTGAAATACCGCCATCTCCCAAGAGTCAGATTTTTTTTTTTTTTATATTTATCTTTACAATGAAGGATATTTATCTTTAATAGGTGTAAACGGCTCTTTCCATTCAGACTCAAAACAATTCACTAACATAAGTACTATGAATTCAGCATCTGTAAAAATGTTCTAGAAAAGTGAACAGACAATGGTGCGTACTCACAATTCTTGATACAGGCTCCTTTGTCATCCAGAAACACAGAGAAAAAAGAGAAGAAAATAAAACAATTACAACCCAATAAAACAGAAATGTTTCCGTGCAAAACAATTCAGAGTAAAGTAAAGTAAAAACAATTAAAGGACGTGGCACGCTACAGATTGATGTGAACAGTTCAGAGAAGTTCAGTGAAAGTGTATACAAACCCTAACAATGAATATTTTTTTTATTTGTTCCCTTTAGGTCTGTTAAATATTCTATTGGAAGAGTTTTGTTACATCTATCCCATAAGTGCAGAAAAAATACCTGTAGTTCATATCAGAAATTAAGAGCTATCCTGTCCCCAGTGCTCACTTCATGTGTTATCCAAGGAGAGTTATTAGCCCTCCCAGTCCTTATCTTGCACTACAGAATGATTAGCTTTTATGTTGGGGAGATGGGAGAGGGGCATTTCACTAGTTTGTAGAAGAAATCTGGGCAGGGCTGACACCATTAAGTCAACAAAAATGCAGTGTGTTGCCACCCCACAACAAGACGAAGGAGCCAGGAGCATTTCTGGACAATAAACAGCTATTTTTCAGTGTTTTTCAGGGATAGAACATAAGAGGTGTGCATGTATTGCAGAGATGTCAAGAAGCACAGTTTTTGCCCTGACATACACATTAAGAAACAAAGTCCAAATAGTGTGCATGTAACATGACACACTGAAAAGAGAAAAATCAGTGCTGGTACTGAAGCCAATGAATACAAGCAGAATAATCCCCAAGCCTTTAGTGGTAGTAGAAGACCTCTAGTATGGGTGTGTGTGGGTGGGGGGAGGGGGGTTAAACAAGGGGGCAATCTTACTTCACAGTCCCCATACACTCCTGGAGGTGTCTCTGGAACCTCTCGTCTTTTTCATAGGCCTCTAGCAGTGCAATGGTCTCCTCATGATTCTGGCAATACTCTTTATATACAGACTCTAACTCTTCCCTCTGCTCCAGGAATATCAAACCTGAAAGAAAAACAAAATTTTTAACAGAAGCATCATGGTGGCTTAGTAGTTGGCCCTGTCACTTTGCACCACTGATGTCCAGACTTTAACACAATGCTTTGATAGAGTAATGGGTTGTAGGGCAGGAACAGATAAGAATGGTTCTTTGATCACAGTAAAGTGCTGCAAAATAAGCCTTCTCTACATATATTAACGAAAAAAAGTTTCTGCACACCAGCAACCTGATGCCCAACCTGTGGCCCTTTGGAAGATGGAACAATGATTTGCAATATACATGCTATAATGGCAATGAACTCTAGCAGCCCCATGAGACGTCCCCAGTCTCTGCCCTTCTCCTCTGGTATGTCTTCAGTCTCTGACCATTTCCTCTAATATTTCTCCAGTCTCTGCCCATCTCCTCTAGCATGTCTGCAGTCTCTACCCATCTGCTCTAGCATGTCTGCAGTCTCTGCCCATCTCCTCTAGCATGTCTGCAGTCTCTGCCCATTTATTCTAGCATGTCTGCAGTCTCTGACCATCTCCTCTAGCACACCTGCAGTCTCTGCCCATCTCCTCTAGCATGTCTGCAATCTCTGCCCATTTATTCTAGCATGTCTGCAGTCTCTGCCCATCTCCTCTAGCATGTCCGCAGTCTGACGTTCTTCTGTAGCATTATACTGTATATGGTGACTATTATGTGAACCCCACAGTTGAAACACTCTATACCTTATAAGTTGACAACTACTGCTCTAGCCAATGCTATGTCAAATATGGCTACAAATCTGATAACTTATCAACAAGAAAGAGGACAATGTTTCTGTTCCTGGGACACATGTACAAGAAATGGGGACCATGGTTGGCATTGGAACAGGAAGACACAGACAGCAATAGAAACATTGTCAAAGATTTAAACCCCTCCTACTAAAAATGTGTTATTGTCTTTATCCTTGCCAGGAAATGAGAAGAAATCTTCCCAATAGCAATAAAAAAACTTTAGGGAGACTCTCATTTTTTTCTCTCCAACTTTGTCCAAAACTAAATAAAATGCTTGCTGGAATATGTGCTCACCGAGAGCGCTCTATACTTTCCCTTTAAAAAGGCTGAAACATTTTTTTACATTTTGATGCATTTTTGCAGACATTCAAACAAAAACCAGTAGTGACCTGTAGATATACAAGAAGAATACTCACCCACAGAGTCACAGGTCTCCAGAGCTCCTAATAATCTCCGAGTGACCTCAATCACTAAATGGATATTTCCAAATAGCACATCAAAATCCAAATTGATCTGTTGAATAAAAAAAAGAAATGTTTCTTGTGGATAGGTCTATAGGTAATGATACAGGCAAGTTAATTCGAAAACCAGTTATAATGTTATACTATACTATAACAAAGATTTTAAAGAAAATGCAAAAAAAAACTAATTTTGCTGAAATACTTTCAATACAGAAATGTATCCCTCGCAGTAGTTCTTTACTGCCAAGAGAGGTCCCTAGTCTTCGAGGTTGAATGATGGCCAGCATCATTCAACCCACTTCCTCTTAAACCAGGCTGTCATGGACCTGCCCCCAGCCTGTTACTGGACAGAGAAGGAGAAGCAGCACATTGATGACCTCATCTATCCGTTTCTCTGCTCTCCTCCTTCGCTCCAGTGATCATATGTCCCTCGGCGTCCTCACATCAAATACACAGTGAGGGGAATTTATCAAAACTGGAGCAGACAAAATCTGGAGCAGAAGTGCATGGCAACCAATCAGCTTCTCTCTTTCATTTTCAAAGCTTAACTGAACAAACTGAAGAGAGAAGCTGATTGGTTGCCATAGGCAAGTGTTTCACATTTTGTCTGCTCCAGTCTTGATAAATCCCCCCAGTGTGTTGGACGTGATGACTCAACAATACTTAGATCACTGCAGTAGAGAGGGAGAGAGGCTACCCAGGACCGGTCTAACAGCTCCGAGGTTGGGCGAGTATAACATTTTTTTTAGCACCTAGACAAAACAACCACTTAACCCTTGCATTGGAGGGGTAGCCCCACTGAACGGGTTAAGATAACTTTTTTCCCAGAGTGCTTCTTTAAAAAAAGTTTATTTTAAGGATGTATAATTAGCACAGAGCTGCATTCATTTGTGTATTTTACCTCTGCCTAGAGTTCAGCTTTAAATATTAGTAATATGAAAGACTGAAGTGCCAATGAATTCAAATAACAATTGGAAAAAGTTTGTGATAGGTCTCCCCACCCTCGGCAATAAGAAAGGCCTCACCTGTTTTGCCTGCAGGGGAACCATCATGTGCTCCACGCAGGTCTCCAGGTCTCGCAGATAGTCCCGTTCTGTCTGTAACAGCTCCTCGATGACCTTTGACCTCTTCTCCAGCATCCTCATCTCCGAATTCTCGGTGGCAGACGCGGCAGATGGCGTCTCCTCCAGGATCTCGCCTTGCGAGGACAACAGAGTCATATCTGTGAAGAAGATTTATTGTGTCAGCATTACGAAATCAACGGACCGGAAACCAACAATATACTTATAATGGTGTAATCATATACATCCCCTGATCCAATCCCTGATCCTTTATGACACTCCATTGGGATCAGACTGGTTATTCTCTCCTTGTCAACAGGTGGTTCTTACAATGAAACGTTACAAAATATGCAATGTTCTTTTACTGAAAATGACATAAAGATCCAAAATCTAGGCAGAATTTGGTACGTTAGATGTATAAATTGAAGAAGCGCGGTCTATAATCTCCTAAAGAGTCATTGAAGTATTACTGGATAATCTGCACCAAGACCACCTGTTCTTCATCCTGATCTCCTCATCCCACAATAGGGGATATTTATCACAATAACACACAGATAAACTGGCCAGATGCACTAGAGAAGCTCTAAGGAGCGTCCCAGACGGCACAGCTAAAACTAAGAAGATCTGAACGTCTGAATGTGATAAACCATAAATGGCATCTGTAACTGGTCACAAATGATGACTGAATGACTTCAATTTCAGATAACAAACACGTATTCTTGGATCACCTGTGATCTAAGCCAGTGGTCTCCAAACTGCGGCCCTTTGCGTGCAATTGGCTGATCATTCAGGGCACTATTCCTTCCATCAACAACAACAATGGAGCACTATTTCTTCTACTGACTCCAGTGATGTGACATCATTCCTACCACTGGCACCAATGATGGGGAACTATTCCTCCCACTGACACAAATGATGGGACACTATTCCTACCACTGATACATATCATGGGGCACTATTCGTTCCACTTACACCAATGATGGGGCACTATTCCTCCCAATGACATCAACGATAAGGCAATATTCTTCCCACTGACACCAACGATGGGGAACTATTGCGACCACTGACACCAACAATGGAGCATTATTTTTCCCGAGGACACCAATGATGAGACACCATCCCTCCCACTGACACCAACGATAGAGTACTATACCTCCTGCTAACATCAATGATGGGGAACTATTCCTCCCACTAATACCAACGATGGGGCACTACTTCTCCCACTACCACAAATGATAGGGCACAATTCTTCCCAACAAGCACCAACTATGGGCCATTATTCCACTGACACCATTAATCGGGCACTCCCACTGATATAAAAAATGGGGCATTATTTCTTCCCCCACTGACCATAGGTGCATCATTTTTTACTCCCACTGGCCACTAGGTCTGGAGCATTGTTTATTCTCACTGATGCTGGGGCAAGACAGGCCAAAGTATAGCCCCCCCTACTGTATTAGGGACAGTGAACAGGCCCTTTGCTTTGACAATATAGACGTATAAACAAATCACCCATTTATGCATCTATCTTCTAAAATCTTCTGTAAAGCTAAACTCCAGGCACAAAAACTTTTAATTAATGCTTTTCCTCAATATTACCAAGGATATAAATCCACTTTGTGAACACCAAATGTTTTTCTCAGTCTCAATATTTTTTGCACATTTGCTTTTAGACTTTTACAGGTCTAACATCAATGTAGGGGATGTTGAGGAGGCCACCAGTGCCCAGTGTGGACTAGAGAGACTCAGAAGGGCATGGAATTCTTATACCATGCCCACCTCCAGTTCTCTGCTGCCATTACACAAATGCACACTAGGCCTCTCTTCAGTCCTCCTGCCCACCTCAGTCTTCTGCTGCCATTATACATTATGCTGGTCTCCAGTCCTCTGCTGCCATTACACACTATGCCCGTATTCCAGACCTCCTACCTAACTCTGTCCTCTGCTGCCATTACACATTATGCCTGTCTCCAGTCCTCCTGACAACCTCAGTCTTCTGCTGCCATTGAACACTATGCACATTCTCCAGTCTTTCTGCCTACCTCTGTCCTCTGCTGCCATTACACTCTATGCCCGTCTCCAGTCCTCCTGACTACCTCTGTCCTCTGCTGCCATTACACTCTATGCCCGTCTCCAGTCCTCCTGACAACCTCTGTGCCTGTCTCCAGCCCAGTCCTGCCTATCTCTGTCCTCAGCTGCCATCACACACTATGCCTCTCTTCAGTTCTCCTGCCCACCTCAGTCCTCTGCTGCCATCACAACATACACACTAGTCTCTCTAGTTACAGTAATACCTCATAACCGAATCTCATTAAAAATACAACCTATCACAAGAGCAATTCCTGGGCTGCCACTGGCTTCTGAAAAAGCTAGATGCCTGGCTGTAATAATCTTCTGACTACAGTAGCTTCTGAGTCACTGACCAGGAACAAGTATTCAGAACAGGAAGTCCTGACTTCATCCACAGCATTAAAATGAGACCTGTGTGACTGCCAGGCAGACTGCATTTTCAGAAGGAGAGTTCTGTTGAGATCTAGTCCTAGAATGTATGGGCACTGGCATATACTATGAAGATTTTGTCAGACTCCTGTGATTTTCGCAAAATTATAATTGTGGGTGGCCCTGCCGACACCATCTGACCCGACAAATTTAAATTGAAAAATTGAAGGAGCTGGGAGGAAAATTGATGGGTGAACAGTGGCTGTAGCCAATCAGATGCACTTACTGTTCCAATACTGTGACAGCCATAAATGGTGGATGCGAATGCAATAACCCGTTTAGCATGGATGGGGGAACTGAGGGATTTTCAGCCCAAGGAAAGAGAAGAAACTATAAACGTCTTGCATTAATACCACATATTCTCAATAGGGAGTATTGTGACATCAGAGTGCTAGAGGACACAACGTGTGTGATCTCAGACATCTCACAAGCTGGGCGTTCCCCCAGAACCTTTGGCACTGATAAATGACATAATGACAATGGTCACCTAACAACGTCAACAAACAGAAATCGCTCTTTCCTGATCTGCGAAGTGCACAGTCCATGCATTGATAACACACAGAAGACACTTCAAGCGCCGCTTACTGATAGTCATCCCATAAGAGATCAGCATACACAGCAATAAAAGCCAACATGCTAAAATCAAGATCAGTAAACAATAGATCTTATATAATAAAATGATAACAAGAGAAAGAAACGGGAAGTGTCAGGATTGGTCAATAGCTGCCAATCAAATGCTTGCTCACATTTCTGGAATCTGTTACCTAGAAATCACCGCCAGTATCTGACTGGTTACATAGTAACTAAAGACACAGGTCCAACCTACATGTGTTTGTGCGTGCGTGTGTGTATGTATATAAGAGTCCCCGTGTGGTCTAGTTTTTAAGTGTACCTGTACCCCTGTATGTTACGGTCTCTGAGGACAGTATCTAAATGATTTTTGAATGATTCCATACTCTCTGCCGATACCACTGCTTGTGGAAGAGAGTTCCAAAATGTAACCACTCTGACTGAAAAGAAGCCCCTACGCCCTTTGTGGTGAAATCTTTTCTCCACCAATTTTAGGTTGCTATGAGTGACACAAAATTTCCATCCCTATATATTACAAATGCCAAACCACTACCGTTACCTGTTACAGGAGCACTCCACTATGTACTATTTACATCTAAACTGACCATGCGACATCACCGCCAATTTTAAAAACCTCAGCTCTTACAGTGAAAAACCTATAGGCTCCATTGACATCTTTGCATTCTGGTGTGGTGTGACATTCGAGCACGCACGCAACCCATGTTAACGCGCATTGCCCTTAAGAAAGCCCCTCTAGATCAATAAACAAGAAAACATGCCTGCAGTATTATGAATGTGGCCTTAGAAGCCATTGGACTAAATTTGAGCAGTCAATGGCCAGCTTTAGGGTTTACATACACTTTAACTTAAGAGTACATTAGAGTACACTCATAAAATGGGTTGTAGAGTCTCCTAAACAGAGATTTAAAGTCTGGGCCAAATGTAATAAACCTAATGGGCGACACTGGTGATGGAGTCTCTGCTACTGAAAGCTTTAACCATGTCTTGGCCGCCATATACTTTGCAGCACACTGAAATCAATGAGCTTTGAATGCAGCAACTGTCAACAAATGGTTAAATGTCTCAGCAGCAAACACTACTAACATAGTCCTTGTCTAGAACGTTCCCGGAAATCTGGTAGTTTCCGGCTACATTCCAATTCTGTCAATATTTCTACAAATCCAATGCGTTACATTTAAACATAGTCCCTTGTTGGATCCATGGGAAATTTTTTAAAGGTGACCAGAAGAAGTGGCTTAGAGAAGCTACGAGACATCTTCAACATTATAGAACATGTGTAGCTGAATGTAACTGATTACTACTAGATATACCATGACCTGAATAAATAAGAACCTTCACAAACAAAGTTGACTTACAATGTGTGGCCTTTCTATTGGAAAAACAAAGTTGGAGACTCCAAAGTTGCAAGGCTCCGAGTGCGGCCAACCCTCCCCCACACTTCTCCTTTCCAGGAGACCCCCAGAAGAGACAATAATTGCATTATGTACAAAGAGGAGTCTATTGACCAACCTGGTATAGGGGAAGCTCCACACATCTGAGTCTGCATATTTCTGTCCAAAAACATTTTACCTGGGCTCAGGGTAACAATTATAACGCAATGGCTGTAAGCGCTGTGCACTCTTACCTCCACCCTGACGTTCCCAGGCGTTCAGTAATGTCTGCACTTCCCTCATCATGGTGCATTACCATGTCAATGGCTGCAGAACAATACGGGAAGGGGGTAGAAGAAGAGGGCCGGGGAAGAGGATTTACTACACTGTTATATGAAGGTGAAGAGAAGGCAGACTCTGCCATTCACACCAGCCATGGTACATTGCAGAGCTGGTATTATTCCAGACCAACTGCAGCCAAAAGCAAGATTTCATTTTTGGGTGGGCAATAATTGTATATTATCATTGGGACTCTAAGATTCACCCACAGCAATTTGTGTCTACGCCTCCCATCAATGTCTCATGCTCAGATTCCCCAATTATATGTTAATTGTACAATACAGAATTCATCATGTAGGCCACGTCAACATGACTGCAGAGCCCTGTAGGCATATGTTGCCAATGCTCCAGACAGAAGAAGC